CGACCAAAAACCCGACAAAACGCAAATCAAACAAACAAGAGACACACAAAGCAAAAGCCCTCCGAGGCACCAAGCAAACCTTGCTGGGATTTCACGGAATGCTCGCTCCGGTGGCCGCAGACGTGTCCAGCTCCGGTGCCCGGCCGCGGCAGCCGGGAGCGCCGCGCTGCCGAGACCCTCTCCCCGCGTCGGCAGAAATTTTATAAACTTCGGCTACTTTAAAAAAAAAAAAAAAAATCTTTGGGGTCAATTTTCCACTTGTGCCTGTAGCTCTTGAGCAAGTACTTTTATGGTTCCTTCTAGCGCGCAGGATTTATCTGCAGCTCTGTGAAGGGCTTTTACATTTAATCCAGCGCTGAAGTAGTAATTTGTCGCCGGCGCTTCCTAGCAGGCTTTTCTTTTAACTTAGCCGGGATGCGGGCCCTTTGTGCGGGCTAATCTGCGCCGCACAATGCCGGGGCAGCCCGGGGCCGGGGCAGCTCGGGGCCGCCCCCGGGATGTGCTCCCGGCCGAGCCAGGGGATGCGGGGAGTGCCGGGCGGAGGGAAGGGGCTGGGGGCACCTCGGCGCTGCGCCCGACCCGCCGGCAGCCCAGCCGGCTTTTCCACGTGTGTGCACGGAGCCGTCGCTGCGCGGGATTTATAGGAGATCCTGTGCCTTTTCTGCAAAGGTTCTCTTTTTTTTTTAAGGTTGTTTTATTAATTTTTTTTTTCTCTCCAGTCCACTCGGATAATCGTTTTGTTTTTTTTTTTTTAAATCAAATTTAGAGTTCCTCTTACGTTGGGGATAACCTGCTTGGGTTTGGGTTTTTTTCCTGGAGGAGGCAATGCTTTATAGCCTGTCCGTATAGATTTTTCAGGGAGAGGGAAATATCATGGTAAAGGAAGAGAATATTTTACCAATTCTTTATTTTAATTGAAGTATCGCAGTTTTTAGAATAATTTTTGAAGCGAGAGTTTCACCCTTCTGCCTTGCAGATGCCTGTCTTTTTTATTAAAAACAGTGTTGTTCTGATACCAGTATTGTGGAGGAATATTTTGTTCCAGATACGAAAACATCTTGGGGATACGTTTGGACATAGCAGAAGCGTGTGAAATAGTGCCCGACAAATATGAAATAGTCTCTTATAAATAAAGATACCAAAGCCACAATATTAAAAATGGGAGCAGCTCTGCCTGCCTCCCTTTTATCACAACATTTCTAAACTAGACTGATACTGCAGGCGGCTTTTTGGTGACGGCTCAGGAAAGAAGCGTTGCTGTGTTTGCATGAATTATGCCTGTACTTTACACTCCGGTGGGGTCAAACCGGATCCCTTTTCTACTCTGGGTAAATGTCAGTGTACAGCTCAGCACCTCTGAGTAAAAAAAGCACCAAAAAAAGCTGCTTTTGGGAGCCGTGCGCCCCAGGTGTGGGCAGGGCCAGCCCCCCTCTCCCTGCCCAGTCCTGGCACGGGCATCCCTGAGCTGGAGCCCGAAGCGCTGGAGCCGCAGCCCCGCAATCTCCGTGAGCCACAGAGAGGGGAGCCCGCAGGTACGGCGGCGGCACGTGGGGAGGGAGCTTTATGGGCATGATTTAGTGAATATGAGAACATATTTTGTGCTCCATTGTTTAGACTCAAGAAGGCATAAAATCTTTAACATCTATTTATCACGTAGCTGTTTTAATGTAAACATTTGTCTATTTGGATGAAGTGTTTTCATTATTAAGCTAATTTCCACATGTTTCAGATAGACTGATGAGTTCGAAGCAGAGCACTCGCTGATGAGAAACGAAATTCGGCCGCGGCTCAGCCTGCTGTCAGATACATCTTCATTAGTTTTTGTCATTCACTGATGGCAAATGCTCTATAAATGAGATGACGATCAGGTCCGCCTTGATAACTTGCCTTATCTCATTAGTTTTCACATCAAAGTTAATCAGCAATGTGAATTGTAATTGCTGGAAGAGACAATGCAATAGATCACTCGGCCTTTTTTTTCTGCGTGGCATCTTGAAACATCAGCAGGCTGGTGTGAGTAGATAGGCTCCGAAGGAAAATGATGTGGAAAGCATAATAAGCAAGCTGCTCGGAATTAATGAGCTTACCCAATAAGAAAAGAATAACCAATCAATGTGAGCTGGGCAAATATAATTTAGGAATAATTGCTTGATTGGTTGTCTATAGTAGGCTGATTTGACCACACACAAGGATTAAGAATTAAGATGTCAAGGCAAAAAAATAATTTGGCAACTGAGGGCATGTAATTTTTTGTTCCCCTCCCTTTATGACTGAAAGCGATTGCTGTTTGATATGTTATTCCCCGGGAATGAAAACATTAGACGGGCGCGCACCGGTGGGTGGGGTTCTTCCTCTCCTTTATACGCTCCTTTTATCACACAAGGTCTTTCAAACCTCGCCGGGGATATTGCGGCACGGGACATTAAAAACGAACGGGGGAGGCGGCGGGGGGAGTAAAATAAAACTACAGAAGAGCCCCCAGACGTCTTCATTTGCCAGCGCGGCACGGAGAGGAGCAGGGGCTGCTCTGTTGGCAGAGCCCGGCCGTGCCCCGCTCCAGACCCCGATCCGGGCGCGATTCCTGCACTTTCCGTGTAATTCTCCCCACAGCCATTGGCCAATTAGTAAAGAACCCTTATATTCTTCTATCTAAACTACGGGGAAGGTTCAGCCAGAAGGTAAATTTGCTTTGATCTACATTACACCTAATTGAGTCACCACCAATGTCTCTATCCCAACATCAAGAAATGTGAAAATGTTAGATTATTTCACTGGGGATTAAACCTAATTTTCGCGTGTTCTGCATTAACCTATTAGGCTGACTCATCTGCATTGCTAATGCGGCTCAGGCAGCTGTCACCGCTAAAGAAAAACATGATCATGCAATCCTTGAATGAATGATTCCAGCTCTGATTAGTGTTAGTGAAGTTAGCTGAGCCCTGGTGATAAGGCAGGAAAATTCCCAGGTTGCCAATAGCTTTGAAAATTATCAGACTCCGGGCAAAATGTAGCTGGCGGCTGGCGGGGCCTCCCTCCGAAGGTGGCATTATTTAAGGCCGCCTCTCTCTTCGGGCTGCTGGCCGGAACGCGGCTGCTGCCGCCGCTCCTTCCAAGGGGCTGTGCCAGGGATACGGATTAAAATGCTAATGGGGAGCGACCTGAGCGTGGACAGCCGCAGGTTTTTGGTGGTTTTTTTTTTTTTTTTTGTTTTTTTGGTTTTTTTTTCCCCTGCCTGGCAGCGGCGGCGATGCCGTTTTTTTTTTGTTTTTTTTTCCCTGCCTGGCCGCGTCCGGGCTTTAAATGCGTTTTCCAGAGGGCAGCGGCGGCGATGCCCGAGCGGCTGTGGCCGAGAACAGAGCCTGGGGGCCGGCACCAGCCCCGGGCTGGGCTCCGCTCTTTGTTCCCCAGGCACCGCCGTCAGCTCCAGCCGTTCCTCCTTCTATCTGTCAGATTTAAATGGGGAAAAAAAAAAAAAAGAGTGGGGGAAAGGCAACAATGGCCCATCCCCTTGAGATGGGAAAAAATTTAGGAGTGAGTTATCCCCGAGCAATAGAGCCAGGAGCCAATTTAATCCGATTAGCGCCTGCTGACAATGGATGCTCCTCACCCATTGTGGACAGAAGCTTTCACTTTATTTGTTTCTATTAGCCGAGAACCCAAGATATTGGAAAAGTGGAACTTTGCCCCAACAATTGAAGAAAAAACAAATTGAGAGAAATCATCTAAAGTGTCAATATTGATCTTTTGGCCCTGACTGTGTGCGGAGAGGACTTGTTGAGTGCCCAAAGTTTGCTGTGTGCTCCCGGTGCTCCCCGAGCAGGGGGTGGTGGCGGCTCTTCCCGCCGGCGTGGTGGGTGCACAGGGCAGGAGCTGCTGAGGCAGAACAGGGGGGTTTCCATGGGAAAAGTCTCGGAGCTGTTCACTGGAGCACAGCGCTGATAGGAAAGGCAGCAGGGCTTTAAACTGCCAGGCTGGTGCAACTCCCAGCTCCTCAGCGCACACCCTCACTGCAGGCGTCGGCAGAGGTTCCTTCCCAGCACATTTCATGGGGAGAAGCTCCTTTCCACACACCTGGAACGCATTCTCCTGTCTCCCACACCGATATTGGCGACAGCCACGGCACGGCTCTGCGTCGCCGGTGGCTCTCCCTGTCCCTGTGTGAGTGTGGCGTCGCTCCAGGGAGGACAGGCCGCACCTGGGCTCCATGTGCTGCTGGAGCCACCTCCCTGAACCACTTGGGGCATGGCCAGAGTTGGGCAGGGTGGTGTGACCAGACCTGCTGCAAGGCCTGCTTCGTTTCCCTGAAGCAGGATTGCCCTCGGTGCTGCCCTGTGCATCCAAACCTCGCAGACGTCCCCAGGAGCCCTGGGAATGCCACACTGGAGATGTCCAGGCCTGTCAGGCATTGCTGGGCAGTGAGGGGCAGGGTGGAGATGGACACCAAGGTCAGCACAGGGTGGTGACCTGATCCCTCCAGATCAACACTGCTGGCATTAAAACACAACATTCAGAGCCCCAGGGATTCCAAGGGGAATGGGAGGATAGGGATGTGTAGCAGCAGGAGCACTCCTTTCACCAAGGGGCCTTCCTGAGGACCCCCACCGTGGGCTGGCAGTGCTGGCCAGGGCAGCTGGGGTGCTACAAACCCCAAGATTCTGGGTTTTACCCCCAAGTTTTGTGCTGTCTGGAAAAGCAGGGACACACTGAGAAGAGCAGTGTTCCCAGAAAAGGAGCTAAACTGCAGGTTGGGAGAGGTGCCCATTAACATCCCAGCCTCCTGGAGTAGCTGCAGACCAGAATTTTGTGTCCTGATCCACATCCTCACAGGTCAGGGGGGAATTTCCCTGAGCACCCATCCCTCTCCTTCCCAGTGGTGCTGCCCTGTGAGCGACAGCCTGCCTGGGAAAAAAGGGTTGGGGGAGAATTATTTCCCGGAGCTACCCCACAAAAATTACTTCTTAACCTAAAATGGATTTTTTTTAATCTCCCCTCTGTTCCAGTGAATTGCTCCAGGTGTCAACTGAGCCAAGTCAGGATCAGCTGCAGTTATTCCAGAGTACGTGTCCACGTGCAGAATATTCCGGAACAGGTATTTCACTTTAAATTCATGCCCCGTCTTATTCCAGAATATTTTCCCTGCATAGAGAAGCACTTGGCTGGGGTCTCTGCTTGCTGCCGTACCAGTGATAAGATGGATTGGCTGATCTAATAGGTCTTTTCAATCTCTGATTTTGAAAGCTAAGATTGGGAAATTAATTTCAGAAAGGTCAAAACAGAGCAAGGCTATCCTGCTGCTGTGTGATGGATCCTATTTTTTTTTTTTTTTTTAAATCTGCCTATTGAGGGAAAGGTTAGTTATTCAGCACCGTGCAAAAGAAAGAAATAAATAAAGCGGGCCGAGGAACACAAAAGTGTATAGATCTGCTGACCCATTCGCAATCCTCAGTTAATGAGAGCGGCAGCGCTGAGAGGCTGCGGAGCTGGGGGCGCCGACCCCGCGGGCAGGGAGCGGGGAGCGGGGTGTCCCCTGCACGCGTGGCCGCCGCGGTGGCCCCAGCCTGGGAGGTCTGCTCCCACCCCCCCGGCTGGGAAAACGGAGCAGATCCCTGGGGTGCTCCAAAAAACCCATCCCGAGGCAGCGGAGTCTCCGCTGCGGTCGTGGGGAGGTTTGCGGAGCCGTGCCGTGGGGTTTTAGTGTGTGGAGAAAGAGAAGACTCAGAAGGAAAGGGGGGGGAAAGAAAAAAACAAAGGTTTCGTGTAGGTGTTTCCCTGCTTTTTATTTATTTATTCTCTTCCAACACAGTCAAACAGTAAAATGGAGAGTAAATTGCTTTAGTGCTTTTAAAGACCGGGGAATCGGGGAGAGCAAAGGGGCCGGTTAGGAGGGAATGATTTCTTAATTAACAACAAAATAGATTTATCATTTGTTTGCCTTTTTTTTTTTTTTTTTTTGGCGTCTCCACATGATATATTCAGCAACCTGCTGAGCTGTCCTTCCTCTGTCCCCTCCTCTTCTTGTGGATGAATATGGGGTGCTGGATTTTGGGAATTTTCAGCATCACTGATCAGACCTCGTCCCGACAGCCCGGGGAGGTTGTGCTGTGCCTGGGAGGTGCCACCTGCGGGGAGTCCTGGTGGCTGCTGCCGTGCCTGGGATTGCTGTGCAGCCCCATCTCCTAGTGGGGTCCCCATGGGATGTCCCCCAGGGGCTGCTGCAGGGAGGAATGGGGTGAGGGACAGGCTGAAGAGCTGAGCTGTGGCCGGTGCAGGCCTCACGAGGCCCCTCTCCCTGATTTAAGGACAGGCTGTCCCGTGAGCACTGACCTGGCTCTCCTCGGAGCAAACCCAGAGAATCCTGCTGACTGCTCTGGAGATGGGATCCTGACTGGAATGCCTGGCCAAGGCAACATTAATTAAGACACCCATCTCAGGTGTAATTCACCCCTGAACCTGTACGAGCCAATGTCGCTTCACAGTTCCCTCTCTGCAGACAAATCCTAAACGTGTCTGGATCCAGGGCTGTCCCTACCATTCCTGGAGCTCTCCACTTCCTGCTTTTCCTGTTGCTTTCTGCAGCCAGCTGTACAAAACCCAAATGATGGGTTACAGGAATGATGGCTAAAATAAATATCTCCAGTTGAGGATTCTGCTCCCAGGTTCAGTAGTAAGTGGTAATTATTAGTCAAAACACACAAGCTGCTTCATTTCCTTAGCACATCAGGCCACACTGGAGGTAAAGCATAACTTGGCAAATGGGTTGTGTATCTCATTCTGAACACAGGATGCCAAGGAAGATGCTGGAGCACACAAACTATAACAACTGGGTTATCCTTTACCAGCAGAGAATCCCTAGCAGGTTTCACTGGACACCAGAGCACCTCTGAGAACCTTGAGATTTCTTCCTGTAACTTTCAGAGGAATTTTTCCCTCATGTTCCTCCCCTATGAAAGTGCATTTTTACCTGCAAGAGAACTCAGGTGTCCAATACTCAAACTCAGGGTTAAAAAGGTTTTTGGGACTTTACTATCCTCCTTTTTTTTTTTTTTTTTTTAATGTGTGTCATGGACTTTTTCAAATTCAACCACCACTTAACTGTATAATTTGAATGTTTTATTATCATTAATGCAGTAACTTCACATTGAGTGTGCACCTGTAGCAAGCAGGCATGGAGAAACACAGTAATTCTTGGTGAGGGCACCACAAAGGTGTGACTGTTGGCATGGCCTGGGGACGAGCACTGTGTGAGGAGCGAGGTCCCCAAAAACTGTCCCTGCACCAGCACGTGCTGGCTGTGGCTTGAGCTGCTCCATGGGGATCTCTCACCCTGGGAGAGTCCCAGCTTTCCTGGGAGCTTTGCCCAGAGCTGCTGTGTGGGCTGTGGGTCCTCAGCCTCCGGCAGATCCCAGGAGCACCGGGGAAATAGCCATAAACCCTATTTAAATAGGGAGCTGGTGGGAGGGAGAGGGGAACATTTATTATCATCTAATCCCGCTCAGGTTTTCTACACCATATGTCTGAGCAGCAGAACATGTGAAATGTGTACTAATTACTCTGCCTGTGTCATGTGTGTATATTTTATATGCAGTCCCTGACCTTTTTGTTAATAACTTCACATTATATTCATTGACCTGAAACAAATTGAATTCAGTGGCACTCACTCCAGAATTGAATTACATAGTCTTCTTAATTGGTCTCTTATTTAAATGTGGAAAAGTAACAGTTTACCACCTGTAATTATTCTTTTCCTTAAGAAATTCCTGTGGAGAGCGTGTGTGTGCATGTCCGTGTCACACGTGCTGGGCTCGTGTCCGGGAGGAATTCCCACAGGAGCCCCAAGCCCAGCTGGCACCGTGGGGCAGAAAAAAAAAAAAACCCTAAGAGTTCTGTCCATCCGAAGCAAAACCACTTGTAAAAGTGTGTGAAAGCCCCGGAAGGATCTCGCTTTGCCAGGTGCCATCCCGGGACACGGAGAGCACCGAGAGTGGAGGTGGGAGCTCCGGGAATGCTGACCCGCCGTGGGGGAGAGCCCGGCCGGCTGGAATCTCCGCTCGGCTTTCATCCTTCCGAGGCCGAGTTAATTGCCGAAGCCGCGAGGAGGAGACTTACTCTTTACTTACTATATTTAACTTAAAAATGCAAATGTTATTAGTGTCCCGATCAGTGATAAGAGTGCCTTTGTGCCAGGCTTTAACCTCCATTAGGGGGGATTAGGAGAACGTATCCACATTGGCATTTTCCAAGTGTCACTGTGACAGCACTTGCTGCACAAATGCCTGGCTGTCACACTGAGGTTTATCACCAGGTTTTTTCCTGCGAATGCAGACTAATAAGCCCAGAAATTACAATTGCCTCCCTGCCGAATCTGTGATAGGCGGAAATAATGATATCAGTGCCCTGCTAATCTCCTGCCTCCGCGCTTGGCACCAGCCTATTGAGTCACCTGTCATACGCCGCTTTGATGAGGCGAATTCAATCTCTCAGCTATAATGACAATGGAGCCATTTTAATGTTTGGAAATGATTATGTGAAGGTTTCTCTTTGCTCTGTCTTGGCAAGCAAACCAGGTCAGCGTTCCGGCTGTGTCTCCCGCCGCCGCTAACGACTTGGAAGGAGCTGGCCTGTATTAAGTGAATATGCCAAGTTATTAGAAAGGAGATGCCGAAGGCAGCTGGAGGGGGGAGACTCTTTTTATTTCCTTTTTCACAGCAAGCGTGAGCCTGAGAAGATGCTTCACACACGTGAGCATCTCCCACGCACCCACGGCGCCTGGTGGGCCACGAGAGCCCCGTGCGCCGCGTGCCGGCAGCCACAGGCTCCTCGCCCCAAAATCCACCTGGGAATGGCTGGCTTTGCACAACAGGCCACATGGAGCTGGCTCGGTGATCAAACCAAGCTCCCAAACCTGTCCCAAGCCCTCCAGCCTGCTGGTGTGTTGGGAAGGGGGCTGCTGGAGGGCTGCACCAGAAGCCTGGCTGGGCAGCCGTGGAGAGAATCTATGGTGCTGGATCCATCCCTGCCTGGGTGTCCGTGTCAATTCACTTTGGGGGAGAGACACTGAATTTCTCCTTCTCTCAGGTGCCTCTGTGTGTGAAGCTGGGTCACACTCCGCCTTTGAACAGGAGCTGAAACGCTTGGTTTGTTTATTTGAATATAAAAGGAAAATGACTATGTTTCCTCAAGCTTCCAGAGGTCCCAGATGTACAGAGGAAAGTGTCTTCAGCTGGATGAGGGTTTAAGTCACCTTGGAGAAGCGCAGGGTCTGTCAGAGCCTGCTGCTGGAATTCCATAGGTTGGGTACAACCTGGGGACTCCTGGTGCTGCCCAGTTCTCCAGCTGGATGGCCTCTCCCTGGCATCTCTGCCAGGATCCTGTGGGATGGGTGACACAGACATGGCCCAGTCCTGCAGAGAGGCCAGCACATCCCAGCGGGAAGCACCGCTTCCCACACGGCTCCATCACCACCGCCCTGCAGGAGCCTCTGGCACTGAGGTGTTTGCCACCTTCCCTTGGCCTTCCCTGCCAGGGGATGGGTTTCAACCAATACAACATTAATGTTCCGGGATCGTGACCAAGTCTTTGCTAGGGCAGGGGTAAAGCTGCAGAATTTCAGATGTCAAGGTTTTATTTAGGCCAGTGTTCAAGGCTGGCCCTGGATGGGTGTCCTGGGCTGCTCTTCAGTGGGTGAAAGGCAATTGCTGGGCTGGAGAGAGGACAGAGCAGAACCCAATTGACCCACACAGTGCAGGGAGCAGCGCTGAGCCCCTTTCACCAAGGGTCCTTGCAAAGAAATCTTCTTTATTAGGGCTGAGTGCTGAAATTATTTCAAGGAAAGCGATTACCTGTCTAATAACAACTGTGCCCGCCTGAGTGACTGCCACAGAAAGAAAGGGTTTGCAGATGGGCTGAGCAGGCCTCAAAGCAGCGGTGACACAGGCACACGGGGCTGTCCCCTCGTGTGTGTTTGGAGGGATGCTCCTGCTGGGAGCTTGGCTCTGGCCTTTCTGCTGGGAATGGGGCGGGTGATGGCATCAATGCTGGCATGTCCTTTGGTTTTGGGCGCGTCCCCACCACCCTGGAAGAGCCCAGCTT